TTTAATATTTTATAATATATATGTCATTTTATTTGCAATTTATGTATTCCAATACAATTATGTGTGTTTCTAAAGCATGAATAGGCACTTATTTGCATAATATATAATAAATTTACTTAAATACACCTAGTCCGCCTAGACTTTAGGCCCTAACCGACTGCCCGACTAGCACCTAGCATATTTTAGAACCTTGAGAAAAATTATATGATTTTATGCTAGCTTCTCGAAAAATACGAGTTAAGCATATAGTTGGGGATTTGTTGGTCAAGTAAGGTGCCAAATGTCTTTTGACAAGAGAAAAAGTTTTGCAGAATGTATTTTTTTTTTCTTTGAGAATGTCATATGTTTATATTGGAATAAAAGATACTTATCTTTTTTGAGATAAAATAAAACATCAGAAAGAACGATCAAGCACTTATACATCATGCCAAACGTAGGATTTACAGCAGGACTTACCATAGGAAAAATCAAAAAAAATCCCTAAAGCAAAAAAGGGCCACATGTCAAAATAAACATCACAATTTCACAATTACAAACTCATCAGAAATGAAATATAATTTCTTAGTTATAAATAACCCACATCTACCAATAGAGAATGTAACATTCACGAGACCTAAACCTTGCAAGCCGAATAACTAAATAAAGGATCATGAGGATAAGACAGAGCCAACTTCTGATGATCTAGCAATCATCAACAAATAAGCCACAATTATGAGTACCCTTCCAAAACATATCGAGCTTCATAGTCATTTGGTAAGCAAATAAACCATAAAAGCAACCACAACCTTGAATATATGTGAACAACAACACCTGCTTTAAGAAGCAAGGTTGAGCAGTAACTCGTAGTCCTAGGCCGACTTTAAAAGGTTTTTCTCGATAGAGTAAGGGAGCAACCACAACCATAAAGACTATCTTTGGTACAACAAAATAGCAATCTCAATTAGGGGATGGAGATGGTTAGAAGATAAAAGAAAGAGAGAGAGAGAGAGAGAGAGAGAGAGAGATAGAGAGAGAGAGAAAGAAAGAGAAAGGGAAGTGATCAAAATGGATTGCTACTTGTTTCTGGACTTTTAAGTCGAGTTGGACTTGGGTTTTTGTGGACACCATTTTGCTTCCCCTGGTTTGTTTGTGTACCAAGTCCCGGGATACCTCAAAATAATTAGTTTATCTTAGAAAGTATCTTGGTTAGATCAATGACTCAAAGATAGCGTGATTAGTAAAATGATGGCTTGCCTAAGCGACGTGTGGTCTGGAAGTTTGAAATTTATCAGTTTAGCACGAGAGAGAACTTGCAAGGTTGCATGGTCATGAAGGATGGATGATCTAGGTTTCTTAAAGTTCTAAGGATGTTTCTATTGATTGAGGAAATTCAAAGGAACCCTTAAAACCCTAGAAGGATAATTTCCCTAAGGATTTAAGAATTCCTGCACTTAGAGAAGAATTTCCTTGCTTGGGGCGATGCAATCCTGAGTCTCCTCTTTCCTTTCTTTCTTTCCCTTTTTTTCCCTTTGCATTGAGCACTTGATGGGTATCCTTCCTAGGTTCCCCTAGGGAATCATTTGGTTTCTCTGATTCCTCTTGTTTGGCTTAGTCTCCCTCTCGTTTCCCCCTGCGAAACTAGGCTTTTCCTTTTTAGCGTAACATTGATGAACGCCTTTGCTTCCATGAAGATTGCATTGCGTGCTCTGCCTAGAGCGCTCTTCCCTTGTCAGCTTTTTACAGGCACTACTTCCTCTTTGTTTTCTTTGATCGTTCTTCTACGTAAGCTGGGAAGGTGAATATCTCTTCTCTATTCATTAATGGGTGCCTTACATTACACTTTCATGTGAACATGAGGCTTTGGATTCTGGTTTCTTCCTAGCTGAGCTAGTTGGTTAGCTAAGGGAAAAAGGAGACTTAGTTTGTTCTCTCCAAAACTTACCTTCGTGTAACTCAAGGATTGTGGGCCAGGATCTTAGGTGCTCCCAAGCAATCCAAACTCCTCCATGATCTTAGTTCCACATAAACCTGATAAACTTCTGTAACCATCCACACCACCATCCACTTGGCAAACCCCAACACATGGGTTGGGCAATACGTGAGCATGTATCGTGGTTAGCATGATTTGTACACAACAACAATGTCGTGGCAAAGCTTGGCGTGATTATACAAACGTTCAACTCATAACTTATTATTTATTAGCGTGGCGTGATTGTAAATATTTTCTCTTCTCAATCTTGTATCTTTGCATGTATTTAAGTTTGGCCTGGATTGTTTTTACAACAATCAGGCTTCGAGATGTGATTGGGCCTGCATGTGCATTTTTTGGGCCCCAACATTACTTAATGCAAAAAAATAAATAAAAAAGGGAGTCAGTGGCAAGGGATTTTTTTGGTACTCCCAGTAGTTTTCTTTTAGTGTAATCAAGAAATAACTTTTATTCTCAGTCCAGATATTTAGGTTTACATTGATTTTTTCTTGCGTCCATGGAGAACTAGAAGAGTGCTTATGGTTTACTTCCCTCTCCTTCCGTCTTTGTTTCTCCTGCTGGCATATATTGGACTAAAATTTAGCCGTTGGCCGCTAGTTAGTTCACAAGTTGAAACCTTCTAGAGCCAAGGAAACGAAAGAGCCATCGAAATTCAATTTTCCAATTAGAGCTACCCAAAACTTACAAAACTGCAGCGCAAAGAATTAGTCTTATATCTGGACTTTGAATTTTTTCAAACTTACTTTTCTTAGTTTTCTAAGAGTAGACGACTAATTAACGTAAAGTTGTGGAATAGCCAATATGTGGTTTTATTTTAGCTGTTGTTTTCAGGCACGGACTTTTCTGTGGTATTAGACTTTTAGTGGGCTGCCTATTATATACCTAATTCTACGACCAAAGTGACATAACTTATGATCCCATTTCTTATAATGTGTAAACACATTTACATTATTGGTTTAGGTCCATTAGGGTTTAGGTTTGCCTCTAAATTATAATTGTTTAAGGTCCCAAAATCCTAATCTATTTTAGCATGCCTTTAATAAGTTGAATGCTGAAGACCTAAAGGATTGTCAAAAGGAGTTCTCATAGTACAACTATACTACTTTATTGGGATTTTAGGACCAATAAAATTAAGCGATGGTCCAAAATTTCTGGCTAAAGCTGGAACCAGTCCGAGCCACGAGTTTTTACTTAACACTCGAGTTCTCAAAGTTCCACATACGTCATGGATTGCGTGTACTAAACATGTACAACCACAGCGAATATATAAAGAAGTTAAAGAGAAAAAGAGGCTTATTAACATAATAAGAAATTTAACAATCAACTACTATATCATGTGATCTGCAAAATATAGTTCAAATAAATGATCTAGCTAGTATCACTTTGTATATATTATGTATAATGATGAGAGGGTTAAAGCCACTTCTTTGTATCTTAATTTCTTGTCGTGCAAAGGCAAAGCAACACAAATCCCAATAAGCTTATAAATGTTAATTCCACCCTAATTTGCTCTTTAGGGTTTCGAATGGTTTCTTAATTAGTTTGAAGCATTTATACTCTATATATACAGTAACTTCTGCTTCCTAATTTCGCTTGTACGTATAAAACCAAAGCTTTAACATATTTGAGGAGCCAAGAGAGAAAGATGGAATTTGCAGGGTGAGGTGTGATTGGAGGGCAGTGTGTGAGGTGAGGACAACTGAGGGAAAACTGAAAAGGCAGATGGTAGAGGGATGGATGGTGTAGGTGAAGAACATCATTGCTAATTGCTATAATACCATGTCATTCACGGCATGGGCCATGAGTCACCATAATCCATAAAAGACGAGTCACATGTCACCACATCCTCTCAATATGTTGTCATAATTCCAAAAATCCAAAACCAATCCTTCTCTTTTTCTTTACGTTTTATTAAACGATTATTACTTGATGCCTTTTAATTCTATTTAAACAATTTGTCAACCTAGTTTGGTTTTCCTATTTTATAATCAACAAAAGAAATATTTTAGAGGGAATGATGCGAACTTAAAATTTTGAAGACATGAATAAACACTTTTCAGTAGAGTTACAAACCCCACCTAATTGTACACCATCTGCTAACTATATTCACTTCTCATTGTATGACTCACCCATGCATGCAAATGGGTTCCATCCAAGTCCCATGCACCATGTAAAAAGGTGCGGTATGGGGTAAGTGTGAGCTATAGGCAAGATTTCTCCGAGCTTTAATTGGGATATGGGATGGTGCTTTTAACAATACTTTGCACTTTTTAAGCACTATAATTGATCAGTTAAGTGAGGTTTAGCGAATTCCAGCATTTTGTATTCCATAAAATGATTTGTTGGATTGACAAGTTGATGTGTACGGTCCACATGGTCATATTCTATAACTACTCCCCTAATGTTATGCATTTGTTAATTACATATTGCGTTGCTAATTTTGGCAATATTATCTATTTGGCTCATGAAAGACGAGAAATATGAGACAAGGAAAAGATAAAATCAAAGCAAAAATTTCTAGAAATAAACTAAGTAAAAATGTGCATATTTCAATTCTATGGACTTTTCCGCCTTCTTTATCTCTAAAATCAAACACAGTTTGATCCCTTTGATTAAACCACTACACGTATCTCTAGTTTTAATCATGTAATGAATTGTGCTTAATGTTCTGACATTGGTGGTGTTCTTTCCTAAATCCTTTGTTTTCTCCATCTGGTTTTCTTCGGGAAAGTTTTAACAAGACCCCAGTGTCGCCCTAGTGAAGCTAAGGTAATAGTAAGGTGGAAGCTCTCTTACCACAACAGGACAGTAAATTGGGGTAATGAGCACAAAAACTAGTGATGACTCTCATGATTTATGATTGCGGCAGGTAAGGATTCCCCAAATCTTTGCCACCAAGAGCTCCATCATAACTTCAATGTTTCAACAGTGCACGAGAACAGAATGATGAATCCTTAGTGTTGGAAAACTCCAATAGCAAGAATTAGTTAATAAAGGTAATTAACAAGAGCCAGCTAAAAGGAAAGAAACATACAAAAACCCATAAATCGCTCAGTAAACAATCAGCTAGACATCATGCATACAAAAAACCTGTTCACTTTATATTCACAGACAAATAATCTACTTCAAGCTTGTAGCTTGTAATACATAATATGTTTTAACTCAACGGCAAGAAATCTCCACCAAATATTTCCCATTCCTCCATCCACAGAGCATCGACAACCATAAGCTGGTAGTTCAGTGGTAAATGACGGATTACGGAGCTTTCTTAAAACTAAAAACTAGAGGTTTCGGATTCGACACCCGCTACTGGTGTGGAAGCTAGACTAGTGGCCATGGGAAGGCTGAAATGCCTTTGTGAGTCTTCCCAACCCCCGGAAGGGGTAGATAACTGTGACTTGCCACTAGTTGTCCGCCTTGTTAAAAAAAAAAAATTAAACAAAAAATAAAAAATCACAGAGCATCGACTTTTTTAATTATTCTTATGCTAGCTAGAAAGGGAATTTACCTAGGCCTACTTTGATCTGCTTATTTTTATTTCATATGTATAATTCTCTTTGTAGTGGTAACCAAATCACATTTTTGAGGACTTAAAAAGTGATCATTAATGGAGAAAATACGATAGGAATGAATATATACTTTGTAAGTTGTAATACAATAAAAATAAAGAAAAAAAAACAAGTATTGTACATACATACTCTAAATAAGTCCGAGCTACATATAATAAATTAAGAAGATATGATACCTTGCTAGCTATATACAACGATATATAATTGAACTACTGATGATGCATCATATTAGTTACATATTGTCACGATTTTATAATTTCTTACCTCGATTATATTCTCACTGCATGATTGAATGGTGAGTGAAAAAAACAACAGCAGTTATATATGTAGGCTCTTCATTATCACCACCACCACCACCACCACCAAGGCCAACGGCTCTCCTTCAAGCAGTAGTACTAGGACCAGCTAGCATCAACATTATCTAGTGATCTGAAGCCGGAGAAATCCACGAGTCCACCGCACCTTCACCTCTAATAGTAGAATTAACATTATTCATCTCTAAACAGTTGTCCAAACTAGGCCTCAAATGGTAATCTTGTGATGATAATCCCCCATCACTCGATCCAAGTACTCCATGATCCCTCCAGCTATCATTGCCATCTGAAGCTGCCACGTGGCTGTCGTCTATTGATCCACTACCGAGCTGGTTTGTGTTAACATATGGTGATGATCCATGATGGTTCAGAGCCAAATGGCCCTCAAGTGATGAATGCATGGCTAAATTACCAATTACTCCGTGGCGGCTAGGTCTTGCCCCAAAATTGGGCACACTGACGGAAGAGTGGAATGGAGGAGGCTGCTGCGGTAGGGGTTGGAATGTTAGAATAGGGTTTTGCATGTTTTGGAAGAGGCCTTGATTTTGATGATGATCAGATAGTAATTGGTAATTAGTTGAACTAAAATTAACGTTGTTGTTACTATTATTATTACTAGTAGCAATATTGGTAGCATCAACCATAGCACTATTATTATTGTTCATCATCATCAACAATGAAGAAATAGAATTAGAAGAAGAAGAAGATAGAAATGGGGTTGGCTGATGGACCTTTTGAGCCAAAGGGCGTAAAGGGTGGAGAGGTGACCTTATTCCGGAGCCAAACATTTCGAGCCTTCGAGCGTATGGTGATGACGATGAGGCTGAAAATGGGGGTGCTGGGATGCCAGTGAACTCCTGCACCATTGCTCGGAAATTTGACGTGTCGGTGGTGAGCACAGTGGTAGGTGCCCTCCTAGAAGCTCTTGTCCTCTTCTTTGTGATCCGGGTGGCAACGGGGTTGGTCTGTCCTCCTCTTGAAGAAGCTAAGAGAGCTTGAGTAGTAGTTGATGAAGATTGTAGGTTGGGAACTGGGTTGGTGGAGTTGGGTTGATTGGATCTTGAGTTGGGGATGAAATTTGGGTTTGATGAGTTTCGTTGGGGTTGAGACAATGCTGTGTGGAAATGATCATAAGTATAATTGTGAGATGAGAGATGATGATCAAAAAGTGTTGTGTTAGTGGGTTGGGGGTTATGGTTTTGGTAATGAGAAGGGAGAGAAGGGTGCACTATTGGGTGGGAGGAACCAAACAATTGGGTCGGAGAATTCAAGTAACCCGGGATCGAACTGGGTCTTGAGATTTCATGGTCTTGATCTTCACCACCACTTGAAGATTGCATACTTCCACTATTATCAGAATCCATGGCTAGCTAAGCACAAGAACATGGAGACGGTCACAAGTAATATGGAGAGAGAGAGAGAGAGAGAGAGAGATTATGAGGGTAGTGGGAAAAAAATGCATGGTGAAGTGAGTGGAAAAGTGATATATATATATATATATGTATCTCATATCTCCTTGTCTAAGAACAGCATTTTGAGAGAGAGGAACATGTCTTTATCATTGAAGCCCGGAAGCAAAATCTTTTCCTGGTCTCAGTTGGAGAGAGCCAAAGTTTCTATTAAAAGGAGAGAATATATAAAAACTGATGGATGGATGGATGGATAGGCTTTTCTTTTCTTCTTCCTTTTTGTTTTTTGATTTCTTTGGAAACGACCTTTTTCTGTGTTTCTTTTTTCCCTTTATGTTTTAGAGAGATGAACTGCTAGGGTTTCAGAAAAGCAAAAGAGAAATGAAAGAGTAAAGAAAGGTTATTTATTTAGCCTTTCAGATATTGAGACAAAGAGAGGGCCTCAAAAATTAGAAAGATCCTCCATCTCTAGAGAGAGAGAGTGTGTGTGTCTGCAGGGTGGGGTCGCCATTGGAGTAGGAAAAAGGAGGGTGCAGGTGGCTGGCAACGGGTCAAACTCAGAGAGAGAGAGAGAGAGAGAGAGAGAGAGCGGTTGAATGTGATAGGAAGGGGTATGAAAGTTAAGAAGGTTGGAAATTCATAAATTAATTTATAATCATTTTTAGAGGGATTTACCAAAAATATTGGGATTAATTTACCTAACCCAAGTAATTAAATCAAATGAATAAAAAAAATGAAATGAGCTACTTAGTACTACGGTCGAGTAGTTTACTCTTCACTTATAAGTGAGAGGTTTTAGGTTTCATTCTTATCAAAAGCAAATTTGAACCATATTATTGCTAGCCCATTGTGAGGCTTAACTCACTCTCCCATCCCAAAATAATATCGTTTATTAAACAACAGTGAAATGAAGAATTTGCCAGATACCTAAAGGAAAGAGGAAGGCAAGCTAAGAACTAAATTGGGTAAAGGATAGAAGTGAACGAAACCGCTACCTCCCCTAGGCTCGATCTCCATCAGTATTACTGTTTTCAAGCTTCTCTCTACTCCTCTAGGATCGATCTCCATCAGTATTACTGTTTTCGAGCTTCTCTCTACTCTCTTATCTCTTATCTCTTAGCCTATTTGTTTTCCATGTTTATACGGAAAATGATCAAATGAACTAGTTTAGGTACAATAACAAGCTTTGGGATAATAACCTATTCTCTCTTTTCATCATCACTTAAGTGTGTGTATATAGATATATCCTTTTCTGTAATCTTTTTTTATCATACACATGGTATGTATTATACAACAACTTTTGACCAAGTCCAAATTTAGAAACAAAATCCAAGTTATAGTGGAGACAGAAAAGAAAAATTTGTCAAAGAAGAAACGATATAATATTTATGGGATGAAAAGATTAGATTTTGATAGAGGCTTTCAAATTAAATTTGAACAAACGACCCGTCGAATGAAGCTGGTGGATGAGGTACAGTGACAGATTCATGATTTGAATTTTAGGGTCTTTTAATATTAAAGTACAAGTTTTTAGGTATAAACAGAGGGCGAAGCGCTCTAATTTTTTTTTTCTTCAGTTTATTCACTAAGACATTTCGTTGAACATTTGGTGGGCTTGTTGTCGTCAGCTAAACCATGTTACACACATGTCAACAGATATCGACATATGTCAAAGCAATCTGATGAATGATTTCGAGAGACCCTTTCAAGTGTCGTCGACACAACTTGTCAAGATATGCCTAGCAAGCATCACATTAAACATTTGGTAGGCACAAAAGGGACCCATACCAAACATTCAGAGAGTGCTCAGAAGACCTTCTCATGTATATTTTTCGGACTATAGGTGGTCCTGGGACCACTTTGGTCTCAATGTACATCCACCCCTGGTCGAGTCTAAATCATTATATCCATGACGAATGATTGGCCCTATCAAGCCCATGACACATGGGTAGAATCGAACTCCCTATTTGCTGAGTATCGAGAGAATGTCACCGAAACACGGGACGGTACGCCTATGTTATTGTAGAAGAGGAAGGAAGTTGTTTTTTTTTTTTTTTTTTTTTTTTTTCCAAATGTCGCTCTACTTTAATAATGACATGTAATGCATGTGCTCGTGTTCCGGACACACTGAAAAACTCACCTATCTACTAATTACTTTATATTTAAAAACCTAAATCAGTTTTCTTTTTTAATAACAACATCTTAACTACTTGGTTATATAATTAGTTTTGGTAAATGACGTAACTGCTTACCTGATTAAAGATAATATCCCGATGAATATAATGTGTAAAAGGACGTCCTTGTCTCATTGTACGGAAGATTAAAATTAGAGTAATGTTATTCTCATCTCAATGTCTTATCTTCACACTCACCTTTTAATGAATTTTTTAATTACAAATTTGTCCATTTATAAACAGATTGATAAGGACATTAATTATCTTGTTTTGCTTAATTTAAAATAAAAAATAAAAATAAAAAAGGTTGGGCATGAGAGACAATTTGTCTACCTTAAACCCTAACTCATATTTTCATCTCCTTTCATTTAGATAAAGTAAAAAAATAGCAATGGACTTAGAAGATGACTTTTTTATTGAACAGGTAGAAGATGACGCTTCTACGGAAAAGGTAGAAGATTGTGTTTCCATTAAAATGGTAGAAGAATAATTTGTGTGTAGGTTATTTGAATTTGTTAATCGTATTTTTAAATTTGTTGTTGTTGAATTCTTTTGAATTTGGATATCTGTGTCGTTTCCATTTAAATTTGCAAACCTTAGTGGTTTTCATTTACATATTATTTGTTATATTTTTTAAGAAACAATTTTATAATTTCATATGTATGTATATATTAAAGATTATTTTGGGAATAATAGTGGGTGGGGAAATAGCATTTTAATTTTTTTAACTTTTTAAGGTGGGTGTGATTATAATATGAGTGTGAAAATAAGACAATAAGGTGGGTCTAGTAGCTCTCTAAAATTATTATTGTTTTTAATGGCTATTGGCCTGCCCTATTTAAAAATTCAAATCCTCGAGCTTGCAATCTACCATGCCCATAAGGAATGTATTTTACTTGTTATTTTGTATGGATTGCACTTCCAGACTCATTACTTGTACCATTCCGACAGCTGCCATAACCATTCATATATTGACTTAATGCACATGTGATCAAAATATGGCTTCTTGGGATACATTACAAGGGACTAAGATTCTCTCCAAATTCCTTCCATCCTGATTTTTCGAATCCTTCAATTCTGGAGCTGGAGAATAGGGAAAAAGGTGAATAGGAGAAGGTGAACATGAAAGAAAATGAACAGGTGAAGGTGAACAAGAAATTAATTTATGGCCATTCAATTTTCGGTTGAACTGACAGGATTGAAGGATCCGTAAAATCTAGATAGAAGGGATCTAGAGAGGATCCTATTCCCATTACAAGGGTGTGTACCCTAATTTCCCTTCATGTTCCTGTATTATTGGTGTACATGTCTTTGGCAAAAATGAAGTTAATAAAATTACAAATGGTTGATCGCAAGTATGATTTTAATAACTTTAACTTTGAGAAACTCTTTTCTACAGATGCAATGGTAACAGGTACGGTCAAAAAAATTATATATGCAATGCTTGCAGTCGGGAAACAACCATTTTCAAGTAATTCAATACGTTAATAAACGTCTTCATTTCTTTGGCAAATGCTCTCGTAAAAGTTTTAACTATATAAATAATGCACCCTCATTACTGGAACCAAATTCGCACATATCCGAGGACGGAGGCGAGATCCAGTCAGACTAGCCCATGATCTCCGATGAAGGGAGAATGGGGTTGATTGGGGGGTGTGGTTGAATCTAAATAAGACTGCATACATATTTTTGGGGTGGGGAATTAAATTACAGGTGTAGTTCTAAGAAAGAATAGTGTAAACCATCATTGACAAATAGCCTATGGTAGGGCGTTGAGAGATGAGTTTTCCATGGACGTGTCTACGTGTAGACGGCAGCATAAGGGCCTTTGTTAAGCATCGAGAGAATATGTGTGTAGAAGTCTGAGACAGAGATTGTTAAGAAGATCGATGTTCCTCTGATAAATACTCAGGCTATAGTATTTATAGGGATCTTTAGAGTCCTTTGTAGGAAAGTAATCTTCAACAAATTGGAAGACTATCTAGGAGGAAAACTAGGATAAGGTAACCAATCATTCTAGAATCATGATTGCCTTGCCTAATCCCTAAGATATTCTAATTTGACTTGGATTAGGGTTTTATTTCTTAAGAGGCAAGTAATATCTTTAATAGGCCTAGGACTAGCTTTTCGGACTATGCTCCATTGGCTTCGGGCATTCCTATCCTTCTCGCTATGTGTCAGGGGCCCAAAAAATCATGGTTCCACATTGCCCCTAACTACACTTATGAGAGTGTGCTCCGCTTCAAAGATGGATAGTTACCAACGACCCTTGAGTGAATCATCCCAAAATAACTTCTCCAGAATGTGTGTCAGAATAACCTTCAAACTTCTTGAAAATCCAAAGCTAGCCAAGTTCGGCTAGTCCTATTTGCTTGTCTTTAAATGGTTTCATCTTTTGGAGTTCTGAACCATATTGTAAACCCCTGGTTGGAGTTCCAGATAGATAGCAGAAAAGCTGGATACGAGGTGGAATGCGCTTATATGTTCCTAAAAGAACTTAAATGCCTTGGGAATTTTTTTTTCAAGTTTATTTTACTCAAAAGCTTATTAGAGTAAAATACTTTGAGCTTTTCGCCATTTGCTTCCTAATCATGGAATATAGTTTAATCCATCAATCTTTTCGAAGTAAGCTAACTCTGAAGTAAGGAGTACTGAGGCAAAACACAAGTAAGCTTGTCAGCCAGGGACAGAGCTCAAAAGCCATCCTTAGTGACGTTGATTTGGGAATAATGTCAACTCTCAAACTTAGTGTTTAGAAAGAGTCCCATCGTGATATATAAA